ACGGGCCCGATCGCAATGCCCAAAAGATAATCTAAAAAATATTATTTTCTTACCAATCTGGTCTACTCCCAATTTTAGAAACAAATCAGCCATTTTTTTCCTGTTGAAAACTACTGCTAAGATGAATAAATCTCTTTCTGGATATTCAAAACCAATCTTGACAGTTCCTTTTGAAAAAATATTGTAAATATATATCATTACTTGACCATTAAAATCTAATTTAAAAATTTAACAAACTATAAAAATAAGAAATTAAAAAAATTAGTATTACTGTAGCAAGGTAAAAAAACGACTTCAAACAAGCAAAAAAAGTTTATAAAAGTTTAAAAAAAAACCATAGTAAATGGCCAAATATAAATTACTATAAGGTTAAAATGCTTGAAAAAAATGTTTTTTGATTAATTTTTTTGGATAAACTATAAAAAAGCTACTGTTTCTAGGCTGAATTTTGCAAAAAATGTTACTTAAGCAAATACATATTTGTTTATATTGAATAAAAGCCAAAAGATGTGTTTATATATGCATGGAATTATGTTACATAAAGGAACCATTTTAAAGTGGTGTCATACTTTTAAAAATAGAAACAATGGTTTTCTTTAAAAACAAAGAAACATATAACTAGACCTCTAGACCTTATACTGATGCATCCATAAAAATATAAACTATATTATAATCTATAACTAATTTATAAAGAATGTGGAATCCTATTTTTTTTGCATTTAGTTGTTCATTCAATCACAGGTAAAAATATTTAAATTTTCAGCCATGTTGGTGTGTAATTAGAAGTATTAATTTAGCTCAATCATAATTAGATATAAAAAATGTTTTGAAAAAATAAATGTTTATTCAAATAAATAATCAAGAATTTACATGCTTTTTCTAAAATTTGTTCAATACCAATACTAAAGGGGCCAATGAGCAATTAACATTTACGCAAAATGTTTTAGCAACTATTCTACAAGCTGAAAAATAAAGTCATAATGTGTTATATAAAGAGTAGCACACTAATGAGTTATTCTGCATAGAAAAGTTTGTTATGTAACAAAAGGGTAGTTCTGTACCTGCACTATTAGCTGAAATGTAGATATTTATGTAAGCTATACAGCTATTTAAAGACAAAGATGTTCATTTTAACTATAAACACATCCAATAAAAAAACGAAACAACAAATTTGATTATCAGAAAGCAAAATATTTCTAAAATAATTGAGATTTCTTTTTCTGCTTGAGTGACATTGACATTTGTAAGGAACATGAGGCCAGATTAATTCCCAGTTGGTTTCACTTTGCCTGATAGGAGACAGCAGCACATCAAAGCTGGATGTACTCGGGGTTATAACATAAGACTCACCTTTTAGGGTTCAATACCCCAAGCTATGTTGCAATACAGCATGGTATTTTTTTTAAAAAAAGGATAGAAAAGGGGTTAACCGGTGGACACCACTTAAAACAGTGCGGCCAATGACAAAATGGTCCCGTCAAAACTACTTCAACATAAGAGCCCCTTCAATTCGACCCCGTCAAAAGGGCCAGCGACATATGGACCCTGTCATTTAGGCTCCCGACATAAAGTCTTCCGTCATCTGTTTCTCGACAAAACGGCCCCTGGTAATTACAACTCCCAACAAATAGGCTCCCGCCATTTAGTTTCTCCACAAAACGGCTCCCGCCATTTAGGTTCTCCACAAAGCGACCCCGTCACTACGACTCCCAACAAATAAACTACCATCATTTTGGCTCACGAGAAATAGGCTCCTGTCAATTTGGCTCCCCACAAAAGGACCACTGACTAAAAGGTTTCCATTTGTCGGGAGCCAATATGTCGTGAGACCATTTGTCGTGAGGCCATTTGTCAGGAGCCCTTATATCGGGAGCCAATTTGTCAGGAGCCTCTTTGTCGGAGTCAATGTGTCCTGAGCCAATTTGTGGGGAGCCAATATGTCTGGAGTCCATTTGTCGGGAGCCTAAATGTCGGGAGCCCATTTGTCGGGAGCTTATATGTTGCGAGTAAATATAACGGGAGCCCATTTGACGGGAGCCAATAAGTTGGGGCCCTTTTGACCAGGCTATTTTGACTGGGTCATCTTGTCAGGGGTCGATTTGATGGGGCCGTTCTGACTAGGCCGATTTGTCCCGGGCTGTTTTGACAGTGCACCCTAAAAAGAACTGTTCTGTGAATTATCACAGTTTGAAGAATTAAACAAAAATTTGAATCAAACTGCAGATTGATAACTGATAAAAACATAAAATGATTTTTTGTTTGACTGTTTTATTAGAATACATTATTATAATTTTACCCTAAATTAAAAAATAAAAAAAAACCCTCACATTTAGAATTGTAGCTTCGTTGAATTATTTTTTCATCTCCTTCCCAATGCATTGGATTTGCCGCGCTATCACACTGTACATGATAATCCTCACCTGCATTTTGAAATATGGGTTGTAGTTTTAATCTGTCATAAATATCATGTCTTATTTTATTTTTTATTTTTAAATCAGTATGAACATCAGTGTTGGGTGACTAAAATCTTGAACTGCATCATTCATGAATACTCTATGCATTTACTATTTATCAAATTTAAAATTTAATGTCTTCCAATACAAAAAGTTAGTTAAATTATAGCTAGTCAAAAAATATAAATATATAAACATATAGTTGTATATATATAAATATGTACATTTATACATAAATATTACAAAAAAGTATTTTAAAACTACCAAAATAAAAATTATATGAGTCATCCTTCAGTAAACTGATGATGACTTTGTTGATGCTATACAGCAGTGTTTCTTTCGGCAAATCTTTCCAGTCATCAAGAGAGCGACAGGTCAAGTATGCCTTCAAACTTTGCTGGGTTAAACAGAAAAAGAAATAATTGTTTAAAATAAATACTTTACTAAAAATACTTTTTAAAATTTGTTTTAAAATTATTTTTAAAAAAACCGCTATGAATGTGCAAGTTATGAGTAAGATTGCAGATTTTTTTTTTTGGTAAACAGTTATTGTTTATTTTTCTCTTGTATTATGTGTCTATTGCGAAATGTGACTTTATATTTTTATTTTATTCCTTTCCATAAATTACCAAACGAAACCATTTAGACTGCCTTAATCGATTCTACATGTTAGTTTAAAAAAATATTTTAAAGTTCATTTTTTTCAAAAGCTTATTATATATTCTGGAATTATAGGTGTAAGGGAGCAAAAATTAAATTTAAAAAAATATAACCTTCAAACCTTTGAATAATGTCTGAAATATGTATATGGAATGGAAAAGAATTTTTTTGCAGTGGAGTACCTAACATACCCAAGCTTCTCACATACCTCCTGAAATTTGAGTTCACCCTTTACAATTGCTGCCTCAATGCTATCTGGCATATTCAGACACTGAAATCAAACAAAACATAAGAAATATGCAGTGCTTAAAAACACTGGAAAGTAAACAGAAATACAGACCTAAATAAAAATTGACAACCGTAAGTTTGCATAAGTAAGACGCATGTATGAGAACATGAATTAACTAACACTGTGATAAAGCTTCCAGAGAGTTTGGATATTAAGGAACTTTTTAAGCTCAACGCCATTGTCTAAGAATAGTTGAACAAAATCAGGTTTGTCTTGCACAATGGCTACAAACATGGCATCATACAGGTCTCTCATCTGTGGAAATTCAATACGTATTTTTTTAAAAATAAATTCCATGAATATAACAGAACAATAGGCCTATTCTAATTGTTTTGTAAGATAAATTAGGAAAAAAGCTGTCTTTTAAATGTGTTATACTTTGTTATTTTAACTTCTCCTGGCATTACAAAACTGCAATGTATTTTCTCACAAAATTTCTAAAGAATCACAACATGTTTTTTCAATAATTGTAACAGGTAGCACTAACATCAAAAGTAAGAAAATTTATAAACGGAAGTTTTAAAACATAATCAACGAGAAGTTAAAACTAAATGAAAGCTTCATGAAAAACAAGGATGATCTGTTGTTTATTAATTACAAAATATGAACATGTTTTGTATTTATTTTATCACAGTTTAGGTGTTCTAAATTTAATTATTTTTTTTTTGGTATTACAAATGAAGCCCAATTTCATTAAGTTTGCTAGCTCATTTCACATCATTACAAAACATGTATTTGCTGTGATTTCACCAACCTTCCACTTTGACCTGTTTGAAGAAATAAATATGTGCTTTCTGGCATCTTCACATTTGTTCCAGGCCAGTGCTAAACCAAGCTGAGCCTTACACTCTGATTGGTTGGCTAAATTTAGACAAGAAAAAAGTACCCTAAGTTACTCAGATTACAATTAATGAAATTGGCAATTTAAAACAGTGTGAATTTCCTTTAAAATAAAACAGTAAAAAAAGCAGCTTGATATAATATAAAAATATTATATTTCAGTTTTTAAAAAAATCAGAGCTACCTTTCAGCAAAGCACGTAATATAGCCAGATCAATATCTTTTACTGAATCACACTTTTCAAGGTCAAAAATATTGATCTAAAACAGACATAAAAGAGAGTTTAATCATTTCTAAAATAATATAAGCCAATTTAAAAATTAGAATATCCCTAAAAGTTAGAAAAAAAAATAAAAAAAATAAAAAACCAACTTAGAATATATTTCTTATAATATAAATATCCATGTCAGAATATTAGAAAACAATTAAAGGGAAGCAGGACACTTACAATTTTAAACTACATTAAGCAAATGATAAATGATATATAAGGATAGTTTTTTGGCAGAGGCATGTGAAGTTAGAAACAGTGTCTTACCAAATAGGGTTTTTTAAAGCATGATTTTAACTGAGCTTTGCAGTTTTCTATATTTCTTCTATCTTCTGGGGTGTCCTTTGTATCAAAACATTTCTTTATTTCTTCCTCAGGATTGTCAAGGTTATTTCTATTTAAAAAAAGTGTATTGCCTAATTTATTTTCAGTTTTTTTTATTATATTGTTTAATTTTACTAAAATGGAAGATACTTCTTATAATTACTAATTACCAATATGATGTTATAAACATGTGATAATTTAGACTTTTTGCTCTAATGAATGTGTGATGGTGTAGAAATGTTTGAGGAGGATGGGTACTTAAAAAGGGTTATTTACCCAGGGTTAATATTGACTTGGAAAATAACTGAGAGTAATTGGCAAGTGGTAATGTCCTGTGTAATAGGCCTATAGATTGAATTTAGTTTAGGAATAGTATTAGATTTGGGATTTGGTTTTAATTTTGCAATAACATTTTATTTAAAAAAATTAGTTTCAGTTTATTTGATGATAAATTTAGGTTTCTGTAAGTAAAACATTGTTATATTTAGTAGTTTTAAGTTTTAATTTTTTCAAGGTTGTTTTTACAAATGAATTTAAATTTCCAATTATGGTATGTGAATATCTTTTAAATTTTGTCATGCTAGGCATTTAATTATTGTGTCGGTTAATATTTAGAATGATAGAGTGTAGTTGTTGCTTTTAGTGTCACTTTATGCTTTGAAGAAAAAAATTGTTTAAGGTTTAAATTTGTTTTTAAAAACCCACAACCATTTTGGAGTTAACATTACATTTTTTAATGGTTACTTATAGCTTGAGCAAATGTAGTATTAAACCAATACAGCTGGTGTAGCAATTAATAGTTGTGTATAATAATTGTCAATAATTTGTGATAGTGAATGCACAGAAATAAAAAAATCACCTGGTTTCAGTCACAAGTGGTTTAGTTAAAGATTCAACAATAGTCAAAGCAAAGATAAAATACAAGTAGAAACAAAATACCTTTACAGAAAGGCTCTACCAAGTTAACTGATTCTGTCAAACACATACAATAAACATCTATGGTAAGTAAAATATAAACAAACTTTGCTTTCAGCTCAAACACAGAGGCCAACAGATCTGCGGCCCTTCCAGAACCCTTGACAATAACCACAGGAATGCCATTTTTAACAGACTCTTCCACTGTTTTCATTGTTCCAAAACCTCCTTCCACCACGATCAGTACCACTGGGATTTTTATGTCTGTAAATACACAATTATTTATTTTTATCAAAACTAATATAATTAGAACTTTAAAAAGGGACAGCTTGAAGTACATCAGAAATTAAAGACTGGCCTATATCTCAATCTCAAAGTAAAGTCTGAACATAAGTTTGCACTAAATTACACAATTAAAATTTTAAATGTAATACAAAAACTTTTAAGAGTGGTGTAGGCATTTTTTTTCTCAAGTGTTTATTGTATTTTTGCTTATATTATATTTCTATAAATCAAATACCTGTACAACTTAAAACCTGAATCAAGCTTTATCTCAGTGTATATTGTTAGTCATTTTATATTTTACGCCTGAATATTATTTCAATCTACTCTAGCTAAAATCATGACTTAAGATGGTATCAACCTGCCTTGGTTTGGGGCCTTTTGTTTGGCTATAAATCTTTCCAGCTTTGAGCGGAACTCTATCTCCACTCCAAACTTGTTTACTGTCCCATCATCCACCAGCAGGAAGTGTGTATGATTAGGATCCAAAGGGAGACATTTTGAATTCTTCTCATCTTCATATTTATAGGACGCTGGCCATGCACCAGTATTCTGGAAAATATTTCAGACAATTTTAACATTTTTAATTTTATAAAAAAATGTTTAAAGTATACTAGAATATTTTATGTCTAGGAAATGGAAAGAGAACAAAATGAAACTTATGGCCATCAAATATTCAGCCAAAATTTCCTTTAAGTCACAGTACCAATATCAGTAACTAAGTTGATGGATAATAATTTGTGAATATTTAAATTTTATCCATAAAGACTGGTTTGAACTAACCTTAAATCCACTCAGAGATTCATTATTCTTTACAATCCCCCATGTGGCAATACCCAGAGCCACACAAGCATCGTCAGAGCCACTTCCATTTATGGTCATGTGATGTTTCACAGCCTCACCTACAAACTCCATTACACCTGATGCTGTTCCACCTGTGATCAGCCAGGCACCTGTCAATGAGATGACCAATGAAGAACAATTGGGAACATGTGCTACCAGTGTATATAACATACAAAAATAGGTGTGTTAGGTAGTTGGTAGTATTGTAGCATCAGGTTTAGTTTCAAGGCCAGATATAAGGGTTAGCACTATGGTGGTATTTGGATTGCTGTTACCACAATTGATGATATTTGGATCAGGGTTAGTACTAGGGTCATATTTGACAAGGGTTAGCGCTGTGGTGGTATTTGGATTTCGGTTAACGCTATGGTAGTATTTGACTAGGGTTAGAGCTAATGTGTATTTGGATTAGGGTTTGGATTAGGATTGACATTAAGAAAGTAATATTAATATTTACTTTACTACTATTAACCAAAAAAGTGTCTTTTAAGGTGTGAAAAATCAAACAAGGTTTTCTGAAAAATCCTTTATTTGAAGTATGGGATGGTATGATCAAATTTTGAGCTTGTTATGTTTTTTTTCAAATTTTTAAATTTTCTTGTTAGAATCAATTTTGTTTATCAAATAAAACTAGTTTTTTTAAGAGCTCCATTTGTTTTTGGAAAAGTCCCTTATGTTGGCCTACCTGTATTGACTGCGGCCCCAACAAGCCCCAGCTTAAGAAGGGAGCTAAGCCTTGGCTTAAGCTCAAATTTCTGAGCTCCACCAGTTACTGATATGAGCAGTTTGGGTGGGGTCATTTTCCAATGTGTAATCATCAGTTCCCAAACATCCCTGCATTTTGTATCACAGTCTATTCTGGAATACTGGTGATAAAAAGAATTATCTGTGGCTGATAGTAAGGGGACATAATAGAAGGCTAGCAACCAGTGCTAAAAAAGAAATTTTAAATGGGTAAAATTCTTTTTGAGGGCCTGCGTGTCTCTGAAACAGTTAAAAAAAATCATCATCTTTTCCCATTCGTGTCCAAGACACATGGTGCAGATAAAGTAGAGTTCATCTGTTTCAATGACCTTGATATACAAGGGAATTGTGTGGTCAGCACTATGCCCAGTTGCCTCTGTTTCCATCAGAGCTAGGTGGACTCAGGGATGTTCTACAGACTCAAGCCTGAGAACCAATCTCAAAACTTTCAGGTTAACTATTGTAAGCTCTACCATTCAACCACACCATCCCACAATTTAAAAATAACTGATCGACATTTTTACAATGTTAAATTATAATACTTTTGTACATGCAAGCAATATAAAGCTCTTACGACTACCAGAGACCAAAACAGACATACTAGTGCAGTAGTTGTCTTGCTTCCCACTCCAATAAACTCTATTTTGCCAAAAGAGTCACACTTTTGTAATGCTGCATGTTTTTTGTAGTTCCATGTTGTAGACTCTGCTGATGAAACAGATGTATGCTCCTCTTTAGAACGTCCGCAGCCACAGATTTCTTTCCTGAAAGTAAAAAAATATTTTATTAACTAAGTTTATTCTTTCGTTGAGCATGGATAAAACTTATGGTTACACCAGTCAATGTGAAACAATGAAAATATGTCTTTTTCTACTAACGTTCTTTTAACTACCAACCATGTAACATAAAGATTTGGTATTTTTTTTTACCCAACCTCTACATGGCATTATGTTATATATTCCCACAGACCACCTCTTCATATTATAAACCCATAACAGTTACTAATTAGGAATTTCGCCCTTTCATTAAACAAAAATAATTGTTCATCGTCATTAAAAACTTTTTGTAAAGAATTCCAAGACATTTTATGTAAGCCAGTATTCAACAAATCATTTAAAGTGTCAATGTTGCAAAAATAATACTAAAAAAAAAACAGTGAGTGTTATGGGACATCGTGGTCGGGTGGTAGAGCATATGACTAATGACGCCAAAAGTTTAGAGCTCAACTCTTGGGTTTGTGTTAGTCTATCCTTGAGTCCACCCAGCTCTGATAGGCACACGACTCACATTAGTGAAAGTAAAGGTGGCTAGGCCACACTATCCCTTCATATGCCAAGGTCACTGAAACAGATGAATTATACTTCACCTGCCCCTTGGCCAGTCAGGTTCAAAAGAGTACTTTACTTTTTTTACAGTCAGTGATATATAACATTAGCTGCTCTATTATACCCTCATACTGCAAAAAAAAATGATAAACCACCCACCTGCCCCATTCTCAATTTAGGCCTAAAAAAAAAATCTGCATGATCCCTTATCTAACATATTGTATTATCATATTAAGATATGACATTTGTTAAAAAAAAAAGTTTTGACAAACACTAGGGTTTAGACTAAGAGTTAGAATAGATAGGCATAGCTTTTACTTAAAGTTTTATCTGTTAATAAAAAGAAATTATTTAAATGTTGTTTTTTTTTAAAATATAATTGATTATATTTTCCATTAGTTATAAAAAAAAAAAAAAACAGGCTTTTCTTACTTTTCATTCTTTGATTGGCCTATATATGTTGAGCATTCTCTCTGCTTTATTTTTTTACAAATATAATTAGAAGTTTCACCCTGTTAAAGAATCAGACAAAGTATACAAATGCTTAGTTTATTGAACCTATGGAACTTAATATTAGGCTGGAAAATCTGCAAAATATCATTTCATTTTGACTAATCATTTTTTTTTAAATTTAGATTTTCAAAAAGCATTTTACCTGACTGATAAATGCATCGCTGCCAGCTGGTAATGACTCCACTCCTTCTTCTTCTGTTTTACTAGCGATGTTATCTTCATTTGTATTTGAAGGTAGGTTTGTTGTATCATCATTGAAATTTGTATCCATATAATCAGAGGGGTTCTCTGCTAACTCACTAGGTTGAGGTGCGTTATAGCTAAGTCGCCATTTTGTTGTAGAAACATTATTCATAGTTCTGTCTTCTTTAGATTGAGATTCAGAAAACTTTTTAACAGGTGCTTTTTTAAGTGAAGAGCTGCTACCAATGTCATTTAAGTTATCCAAATCTTTTTCTGAACCTATACTTTGGCTAAGATTTCGAAAGTGAAAGGCTGCTTTTTGCTTTACATCTTTAGCAGAACTAGAGCTCGTCATAGTTTTAGTTCCCCTTGAATTGACTATAAAGTCTTACAAAGTCGACATAAAATAGAGAGTAAATATTAAATATTAAATAAGATAAGCATGTGTATTTTGTGTATAGGGTTACATAATACTTGAAAAGTAATCATCCAACGCCTGGAGTTTCATAAACAGCATTATCAATTGTTCTTTTAGCAGTCAGTAGCTTTTTCTGATGATAGATTTATTTTAGTTTTTAGAGTTTGTTTAGCAGAGGCCTGGAGGCTTTTGTTAGTATTAGTCTTGAACTCTTAAAGTAGACTTAGACTAAAAATTACAAAAGAAACTAGATCTAGCTGTATAATTTAGTAACTCAAATCTAGAGCCCAAACACAACGATCAGGTCCCCTCCTCCGATCACCACGAAAGAGATCAGTCTTGCTTTTTCTGAGACTGAGGCCAGGCCAACTGATGAACGGCCGAAGCCATTAAAATATAGACAAGAGAAAGACTTGCTAAAATATTTCGTTAATTTGCATAGGCCTAAATAATAGATCTATATTTCAATCTTTATTAATAAAAACTAAATCTAGACTGAATTTACCGTCAGAAATATGAGACAAGTTCGTTAACGACGCATTGTTTATCTCGTAGGAGCGCCATTTTGGTAGTTACTGTCTCACTCAGAAAGGCAGAGTAATCTACCTTTGAACAGGTGAGGAATTCTACAGTACAGTTACTACATGATCTTTAATTTATCTCTAACATTGGGCATATTTCTTTTTTTATTTCTTAACCTTCCCCTTCCTCATCGTCACAAAAAAAACAGACCCTACCCTAAAATAGTGTCACACCTCAGCCTGCAACACCCCCTCAAAAGTGCAATTTTTTTTTTAAAGCATCCATTTCTTTCTAAAATATTTTCTTAGCTCACGTTTGCGTTGAGTATAATAATAAATTTCTATAAATTTCTATTACAATTTACAAAAAATCCTTTAAAAACGAAATGACGGTTAACATTAAGTTTCTAACAATAATTCTCTGACCTCCCCCCCCCCCTCCTGCACATCACCCTTTGTCACAAAGTCCAAGACCCCTCCCCCTTAATAGAAGTGTGTCGTCTTTTATGAACGATATCTCCCTGGAATTGTGCATCACTGATGAAAAAAGTGCGAAAAAGAGAGCATGTATGGGCTACAACAATTGTATTTTCAAAATGTTTATTTTTCCTTCTTAAGGTTACGATCTTCTTCTTCTTCCTGGTTCTTAATTGTAATATCGTAATTTATCTCAACGCAATTAATTATTACGCGACTACGTGTGCGCCATATGAGCAGTTGATTCCGATTTCAAGCTGCTTTTCTTTTTGGATATGCTTTTGTCCACCCAAGTACTTTTGTACACCCAAGAACCCAGCAATTTTTTGATTTTGGCGTTTTCCCTCCTATATCATGGGTTGCTGTCTGCAGCTATCTATCAAGCATCATCTACCCGGGATCGAACTCTGGACTTTTCGGTTTAGCAACCATAAGTTTTACCGCCTCGTACATACTGGGACCAGGTAACCCAAAAAAAAAAATACAGAATATTTAATGTCACATCTGCAATTTAATATCCAACTCAACAAGAGCCAATGCAAATTTTTTTCTAGGTGGGGCGTTGCAGAGGCGTAGCGACCCTTCCCGGCGCCCGGGGATAAACTTTCGATTTGCAGCACCCCCCTCAAACTTTCAATTTGTTTTTCCAACCCATTTTGGCGCCCCCTAAGGTCGGCGCCCGGGGACATATGTCGTCCCCCTCTCGCCTCCCCCCTTGCTACGCCTCTGGTGTCGGTGGGTACAAAGTACAAAGCTACCACGATGACTATGTGTCGCTGGTACTAACCAGCTTCCATTTTACCGAACGTATGTTGTCTCAATCTATGGTACGGCCCTGGCGTATGGGCTTGTGGGGGGGGGGGGAGGGGCGATATCCTTGCAGTATCATCACGAGGTGGTGGGGGTGCGGGGCGCACCAGGTGACACCATTTAGACACCCCATCGAAAAACCATAAAATTACTGTTAAAATTGTTTAATCTAGATAAAAAAAACGGACAGTGACACTTCTTTGGATGCGAGTCGGATCCTCCGTTTAACAGCTTTCCTTTCTTTACATTTCTTTTGGATGTAATGAAACCCCTGGGTGTTTTGTACAGTATCTATTTTGACAAGGGGTCGTCCATAAAAAAAGCAATTTTAGAAAAGGAGTTTTAGCCGTTATTTCGCGTTTTAGAAAACGGTTTCAATAAATTGTAATATGAATCGATCAAAATACTCTATGTTGACAGAGTTCTGACAGCAATTTTGAAGGGGGTTGTAGACTGAGGTGTGACGTCATTTTAGGGGGGTCTGGCTTTTTGTGACGACGTGTAACGGAGGGGAGGGGGGAGGTAAAAATCGTCAAAAAAGCGTGACGTTATTTATGAATGACCCCCAAGCAGGTCAGCAATATCCGTTCCTTAAATTTGAGTGTGGTCTCTGATCCAAGTACCACTGTCCTGCTGTTGATGTTTTTCCACTTGCTTGTTCTGCGAGTTCAGAATATTTCGTTTTTTTTTTTTATGTAAAAAATGATATGGCATTTTAAGGAGCCGGGACGACATACCAGGTGATTTACTCCATTTGTACATCTCCACTCTCGTCTCTCTGTCGGAACCAATGGACTTAATACCCCAAAGAAACTCTGTGCGAAAAAGCGACGTCTATAAGAAACACGATCACTTAGAGATTTTTTAAGCGATTATTTTGGAATGTGAATGAGTACTGACTGAACTATCTCTCAAACAGCGTTTCTTCCAGATTTTTTTCTCCTTGGGGGGGGGGGGGGGGAGGACTAAATTTGCCGGGAGGGGGGGGGGGGGGGCGGACGGGGCGGACACTAATAAAAGTATGTTTTCTATATAAATTCAATTTCGTTCGGGGGGCGGGTGTGTGTGTGGGGGGGGGGGGTAGACTTTCTTCGGCTTTCTTCGGTAGACTTACCCCCCCCCCCCACCCCCGAAAAGATGCCTCTGGATGCCTGGAGGAAACTCTGCTCTAAAAAATGTTGTAATAGATTGAGATAATTGTGAGGTCAAGGGAACTCACTCTTCTGTATTAGTATTATATTTATATTGTTATCTTGAGTGATGTCCCTTACATGTATATAAATAGTTGTCTCTCGTCACTTCCTTCCTCTTGCTGGTACCATCATGTAGTTAGACCCAATAAACGTTTTATATACAACCACATGCTTCTATCGTCAATCTATTATATCTGACGACGAGGATAAATAATCTACTAGAAAGAGCACCTACTTACGCAAAAAAGAGGTTTGCTAGAGCTTATTAGCTAAGTATTTCTAGAATAATGGCGCTGTATGGCCAAATAAAAGAATTTGATTCGAATGATGAAATCATTCAAGATTACCTAGATAAGTTAAGCTTTTACCTTGAAGCAAACGACGTGACGATAGAAGCCAAAAAGAGAGCTGTTTTGTTAACAGTTATAGGGCCTCAACAATTTAGGCTACTAAAGGACTTATGCGCACCAGCTAGTCTAACTACCAAGAGCTTTAACGAGCTGAGCAAATTGCTAACAGACCACCATGCGCCTACCCCATCAAAGTTTCTATGTCGAGCTAGATTTGACAGTAGGACTCGTCAACCAAACGAGTCAATATCAGAATATGTTGCTGCTTTACGTCATTTAAGTAAATTTTGTGAATTCGGCGATACGCTGTCTGACAGACTATGTGAAAAGTTTGTGACAGGTGTAAACAGCCCTGATGTTCAAAGAAAGTTGCTGCTCGAGTCAGATCTAACATTAGAAAAAGCAATACAACTTGCAACTTCATTCCAGCAGTCATCCGATGCGGCGAGATCTCTAGCACCCTCAGAGATCCATGCAGTAAACAGCAGGTTAGTCAACAAACACCAACCCCATCAGAGCATTTCAACTTATGCTAAACAGCCTGCACGTTTAAAGCCTAGATCTAAATCTAGTAATAATTATCAAAAATGTCATCGATGCAAAGGTCCCCATGCATCTCATCGGTGCAAGTTCAAGTTAGCAACTTGTTATAAGTGCGGTAAGCAAGGTCACATTGCCAAGGCCTGCTTTGCAAAGTCTTCGTCTGTTGCTAAATCTAGCCAGTCAAGACAGTACCGCAACCAAAGGCAGCACTATGTTAACTCTCACCAAGACTACCTAACCCAACCAATGAACCACTCTACCAGTGAAAATGCTCAAACTGATTCGCAGCCGGATTTCAACCTGTTCTCTGTGAAATCAATAAGTCATGCTCCCATCAATGTACTAGTTAATATCAACGGTAAGAGCATCAGCTTCCAACTTGACACTGGAGCATCTCTAACAGTCATAACAAAGAAAGATTTTGACGCTGTCACAGGAGGATCAGAGCCTCTACAACCATGTCACAAGTGTCTAACAACATACACTGGTGACAATGTTCCGGTAATAGGAGAGTGTATGGTTCATGTAAGTTATAATGGTCAAAGTGTTAAACTTCCTCTTCTTGTGGTTGAAGGAAATGGACCACCATTACTAGGTAGGAACTGGTTAAGTGATCTTAAGTTAAATTGGGAGAGTATTTGTTCATTGAACAATGGAAAAGAATCTAGTCTTACTTCACTAGATAAAGTAATATCTGAAAATAAAAGTGTTTTTGGCAATTCTGGATTACTAAATGATAGAACAGTGAAGATAAGCATTAAAGACACAAATCCAAGATACTGCAAAGCTAGAGTTCCACCTTATGCAATGAGGAATAAAATTGAAAATGAGCTAAGTAGATTGGAATCCAATGGCATCATAAAGAAGGTAGACTATTCCGATTGGGCAACGCCCATTGTGCCAGTGTTAAAGAAGGATGGTTCTATAAGAATTTGTGGAGATTATAAAACTACACTGAATAAGCAAATAGAGCTAAATAGGTACCCTATTCCTAACATTGAGGAAATTTCTTTGAATTTGGCAGGAGGAGACAAATTCACTGAATTAGA